TTTTTACAGAAAATGCCATTCTAATGCTTCTATTGAGCTAACTCTTGTTAATGAAACGTGTAGCTTATTCATTTGACTAAAATGCCATTTTGTTCCCATGCTGTTACAATAAACGGCTAACGCTGTAAAAGCTAATATCTATAATACCTAATCTGTGGGAAGCAATGACACTTTGCACTTATTACCCAGCACTTAGTACTCACTTCAAAGATACTCTTTTGATAAATGTTAAAGAACTATCCCTATTACCTACCACTTATCAATAACTGAGCAAACATTTGTAAGCTGTACTTAGTAAAAAGTACAGCTGTTGACTGTTGACTGACCATATCATGCCGGATACTGCATTTGCTATATGTTCAGTGAATGTTTCCACGTTATATTATGCCTGCTTTGGTAGATGTTTTTTCCTTGATGATATTCTAGAATTTATGTAAATATTTTTTTACAATCTTATAGGGTTATTTGTGAAAACTGAAAGTGAATTCAAAGAGAAGTTCAAATTTAAGGGCAAAATAGCTGAACTGGAAAAATGATCTAACTCAGCTATGCTTTCAGTTCGGCTACTCTGGCCTTAAATTTTTAATTCACTTTGAATTCTCACTTTAGTAAATAACCTGATAGTCTTTTAGTACAGAACTTTGGAGTTAACATATCAGGCTTTAAAAGAGGCAGCTGAAATATGTAGTAAATTAACTTATGTTAAAATTAATTTCACATCCATATAAGCAACTTATTACATTTACTTTGCTATAAGCATTTAAGTTGATCCCTTCTTCTGTTGTAACTTCCATGGTGTTCTATACACATATACAATGTATTATATTGGGGCTATACCAGTGGTTCCCAAGCGTTTTAGGTTCAAGGCACCCTTAATATTTCAATATTTTTCCAAGGCACCCCAAGTCAAAATTTCTAGGTTGTATATCTGTACAGCGCTGCCGCATTTACTGGCTCTATAGTGTAATGTACAGTGTTTGAAGGGGTGCTTGTATATAGTTATTGTGTTTTAATATAGGGGTGTGTTTGTATTTAATGTTTGCGTTTGATTGCAGGGGTGTGTCTGAATGTAATGTTCACTTTTAAATGTGGATGTACATTTGTGTGAAGTATTTGTGTTTGAGTGAAGGGGTGTGTTTTTTTTTTTTTTTAGTTTGAATGCAATGGTGTGTTTGTATGTAATATTTGTGTTACATTGCAGGAGTGTGCTTGTATGTTGTGCTGGTCTTTGACTGCTTGGATGTATGCACATACACTACCACATACATACATACATACATACTTACACAGATATTCATGCTAATTGACACACAGATGCATATAAATACACTGACACATACACACAAATTCATATAGACACCGACACATTCACACACATAGATACACACGTACACACACATAGATTCACACTGACATACACACATGCACTCTGACACATACAAACATTGATACATGCCCACACCATGACACACATACACACACTGACATAAAAACACTCACCCTGACACACACATACTCACACACACTTATACACACTCATACATACAAACAGTCATATTCACACACACTCATACATACACTCATTCACACGCACACACTCATACACACTCACTCATACTCAAACTCATACACACACTCACACACATACAAGTGATTTAAAAAAAAATATATATCTCCAGCCACCCTCCTGTTCCCTCCAGCTTACCTTATGTGCCAGGAGGGTGGCTTGGAGTCCTGCTGCTGTGGGAGTGAGGGGTATGGAGATCTTCGTGCTCCTCTCCCCTCATGCTGCGGCTGTCTCCTCCTGCACTGTCTCCCTGCATGATGCTGGCAGGCTGTCACTTTCTCCCAGCCGGCCGACATTACAGGGGCCTGGTCGCGGTCTTAAAGGACCGTGGCATACGACCGGGCCCCTGTTCAGTAGTAATGTTTCCCCGGTGCTATAATCATAGCACCAGGGAAACATTCCGCAGCACCCCTGTGTGCACAGTTTGGTAACCGCTGGGCTATACAATAATATACTGTGCTACTATAAAGCAGGTACTCTTGGTGTCTTGCATGATGTCACACACACCTTGACATGGATAGGAGTTGTGGGGAAGCTGCTAGGGGACCCCAGTAAGAGTTATTGTTGTTACTATCTCTTTTAAAAGTCCATGTGTTTGGCACTGTTTGAATAAATCTAATATTTTTGTTTTTCTGAATTATTTCAAGTAAATAGATATCTCATTAAAATATGGTTTAGTTGTTTGTTTCAACTTGTTTCATTTAATTTGGGGTTTACTTAACTGATACAATAACCGTGTTTTTTGTTTCCAGACTGGATCTGATTTCTGATGGGCTAAAAGACTGCCTTGTAGATGGCCCTGGAACTCAAGGTATGACTAGGTAGAAGTAAAAAAAAAAAAACACGTTGTTGTACATTATACCATGTAATCAGTCTTTGAAACAGACCAATGCTTTTCTTGTTACTTAAAGAAACACACCACATACATACGCACTTTAGTTTAAGTGCTTTCTATAGAAATTGGCACTTTTATAAATTAATCTTCTACCAACCCCACAGCTGTCAGTTAGACAGCTGTTCTTGTTATTTACTGTAATTTAGCTCTGTGGAGCTAAACTTAAGAGGCAGGCAACTGCCTAGAACACCTACCTTGCAAACACTTTTCTGTGATTGGACTCAAGTCTGTGATTGGACTCAAGTCTGTGATTGGACAGCAAAGGAAAGTCTGTGCTGTTGGGTAGTACTTGCAGTAGCTGCAAATACTAGATCAGCAGCTATTGCAAGTCTTGTAACCCCAAAGAAAACACTCAAAACAAATTACATAGCAATAACAAATCAAACTAAAATTAATGGAGTGCGTCAATATGGTTAAAAAATAATAACAAATTTACCCTGAAATAAACAAGCATGCACAAAATAATAGTCCAGACTAGATTAATCAGTTATCCAACCTCAGCTCTATATATTGTGCACTCAAGAAAGAACTTCGTTCAAACTGGAACTATTTCTATAGAAACAACATCTCAGAGTAGTAAGGGTAGACGGATAATATTGGAATTTTTGTAAGGCCGGAACAAGCTCCCGTACTAGCAAGCAGTCCAATCCGAAATGTGAAGGAGAAGCCAAATACATGAATGCTTATAAAGTTTTATTTAAAAATAAATATAAGTATATGTTTGTATGTGTATGTGTGTGTATATATATATATATACCGTGTGTATATATATATATATATATATATATATATATATATATATATATATACTTAAAACTAAAGCGGGCAAGGAAAAGTAGCAATATCATGCAGCATAAACACACACAATCTGTAGGCAAATGCCAATATACACATGGTGACTTTTCGTACATTCATCTTGCTTCACCCGCCATGACTTGTTTTGCATGGACTGGTGCTTCTTCCGATTTAGACTCCTCATATTGCATGCACCATTGGGGGTATACCAATTAAATCATTTTTTATTTTATTTATGTTGTTAATGGGGTGTCCCTTTAAATGAAACCTACAATACTTTGCAATCAGATTTCTTTTTTGATTTTTTTTTTTCTTAGGAACTAGTAACAAAGATTGCCATGACCCTGTAATAGATGATACCAGCAAGAGGCATACCTTTCAAGGTAAGATAAGAAAAAAAATATATATTTTTAGCATTTTA